TCATATTTTGATAGAGATGAGTGAAGAGAATAACGTCAACTATTCTTTTTGAACTAATACTAATGACAGTTTTGCAAGTTGCGTCTTTTTTTAATTCTCATCAAAATACGTGAAATCTTGACGTCGAATATAGATACGTGATTTATGGAAAAAAGGATTGAGATACGTTCTCTTAAATCGAGAATCTCGGTTACTCTTTCTCTGGTGATTTCCCTGAGACACTTTTTTCACATGAAGGGACGTTGAGTTAGACATTCGTGTTTTTCCAGTTGGATTCAATTTTTAACATTTTGTAACAACCTTAAACTCTGCTTGTAGCGAACCTACCCGAAACGTTCCCCGATGGCCCGAGATGTGTTGGAGCACTACCAGAAAAAACTTGTAAAAAAAACCCCGTCAAAATCGAACGACATAGACTCGAGCTCCTCGAGTGAGGACGAGGCGCCCCCAAAACCCCGAATTAACGGGACGACAAAACTCCAGAAGAAGAAGGCCGTCTCCTCAGACTCCGACACAAACAACCACTCTAACTCTTCAGAGAAAAATTACTCGCAGGGAAAATCAACAGCTGCAGCGAAGCATGCAACCAGATTAACACTCAACGACTCTCCTGCGAGCTCCTCAGACGAAGAGAAAAACTCCAAGCCCATTGTCTCATCTACAGCAAGATCGCCAGCTGCTAAAGTCCCGGCGAAGAAACTAGAGTCTTCGAGTGACACATCAGACTCTGATGAAGACTCCAAGGCGAAAGCTGGCACTAAACCTCAAACGAAACTGCAGGTGAAATCCCAGATGAAGAAACAACAGAAGTCAGTAGAGCATGGTTCTTCAGAGGATGAGGAAGTCGTCAAGAATGCTCCGAAGGGTGTGACTGCCAAGGCTAAAACGAAGGTTTGAGCTACTGTCCAGTATTATTCCCTTGTAGTTCCTTGTTGAACCTCGGATTATTTTTATAATGAGTGAACTTAGACGCAAATATCAAAATATGTTAAATTCACAATTTCCATTCATAAAGGCATATTTTGGAAGATTCAGGATGTCCAGCCGACAGGGAAAGCTGGAAAACCGAGAATTGCCCATAAATTCAATTGATCTAGAAAACTCAGGAACATGCTCAAAAATTACGCAAGCTTTTTCTAATTCTTTGCTTGAATTTTCATTCCCCTAATTAATCAAAAGGAAATTTTTACTAGGTGATCAATCAAAACAATACGTTGCCACCTCCAGTTAATATAGAATGTTTTTACCTACGTACTTCACTTATTCGTGAATTCTCAAATGTACTATATGGATAATTCTACCAAATATCACTGGGCAAATTCAGTCTTTAAATTGATTATATTTTTTTTTTGTTTCTTTGCATTACTGATGACTAGAATAGAGGACTCTCCGTCTGGTGTGCTCTCTATTAATTAAAAAATTGATAGAAAACATTCAATGAAAGGAGAAATACCAGGGTCGCAGAAAAAATCGGTTTTGGTGAAAATTCACATTTTAACATTCCTGTTCCCATTTTCTCAATAAAGGAGGGATAAAAGATCAAATGAGTATCATTTACGTTTAACTCATTGCGGCACGAAGATCACGAGGAGTATCGATGTGAGAAGAGTGGGGGGTCCGGCAGAGTATTGGTGCGCCATAAGGAAAGCACGGCAGCGCACGCACACCACCACATTACGGAGCGTGTGTGTGCTACCGTAGGAAAACGTTTCGTGCCGCAATGGGTTAAGGATAATAAGTTCAACATGACAAAGAACGAATTCGATTAACTAGGCATATCAATCAATTGAATGGACTAGAATGAATATGAAGCAAAAATTAGATACTGTCGAGAATGTTTCTACCATTAGGGTATTTGATTAATTTTGTCAAGAAAAATCAAAGAAAAGTCAGGGAATTTGTAGGGAATTTCTAACTAGATACCCTGCCTAACTTTTAGACAAAATTATAGATTCTTACTGAAAGTTACACTCCGATTTGTAGAAAAATTCGTCGATGTTCTATTAAATTCTGTGATTTTCCAGGAGAGTCGAAAAAAATTTCTAGTTTTAATAGAAAACTCAACAAATTCCTCCAATTTCATAAAATTAGAAGATAATCGAGGAAATTCTCTTTTTTTTCCCTTACTATTCGTTACTTTCTGCCTTCCTTATTGTGTAACTGACCCTATTCCAACCCTATGCATGCGGCTGTGGATCCTACACTGCACCATATTGTACTCTCTTATAGAACATAGAAGTGACCTGGAAAACTGCAGAAAAACCCTGTCGATATCGGCGGTTGTTCTATTAGTAAACTGCCGCTCACCAGTGAAAGTTGAAAAATTCGGTTCCACGGGGAATCGAACTCACAACCTTGAGACCACTAGGCGAACGCCTTGTCACTACGCCACCGACGTCTGTAAAATGCTCTAGTTCTCTTGAAAATTCGAAAAAATTCATTGAATTGAAAATCCTATCAATTTTCCTGATTCATTTATAAAGAATTCGAGGAATAGCCAGAAATTAATCCAGAAAAGGTTGCTATTTTTTCTATAGGCTTTACATTCGGAGATATTCATAGGAAATTGGTCCTTTCAAATTCGCCGTAGACCCGACTTTGTATATTTATGTTTGATACAACTCTAACTATTGCAAAAATTTTCACGTTCTGGATTGATTTTGTGGTTATTATGTGGTGGATGAAGATCGTGATGATGTAAGAAATGGTGACAAGGTTTTGGTGACATTTTTTTCACTTGAGGATGATAGGGCGAGATAGAGGAAATCATAAAAATGCAACGACCTTCATGGATTTTTTTCAGTACGTTAATGAATCAATCAAGAAACGATGTGCAAAAATTTAGATAGCCTAGATACAGGGCAACAACAAAAATAAATCCTTAAGGTAATACTCATACACGAGATTACATAGAGCATCGATAAGTTCAGCTGTTTTCCTACATTGCTGACTAGTCGATCATGAAGGAAAAATGCAAAAATTACCGATGCCCTATTCAACATCATGCATGCGTAGCAATTTCAGGATTTATTTTTGTTGTTACCATGTACCTAGGCCATCTGAAATTTCGCACATCGTTTCTGAATTGATTCATTATCGAACTAAAAAAAATCCATAGAATTGGTTGCATTTTTATGATTTTCTCCACCTCGCCCGAACATCCTTAAAGGTACGCCGAATTAGTAATTCGTTTCCTTCTAATTGAATTAAATTTTGAACATCTCCACACAAGAATCTTGATTTCTGCTTACAGCCGACTCTACCGAAAGGTTG